AAATATTTCAAGTACATTTCATTTCGTCAGTAAAAAGTGTAAACATTGGCAGTACTCAAAGAATTCAATGTTTTGAATGTTTTAAGTGTACTTTAATTTTTGAATATTTACAATGACTTGTACTAATATATGTGTATTTTATTGTTACAGGTAACTATTGTGAGCGAAATAAAATCGATGAAGTAAACTGAAGGTATTGTTTAGATTTTGAGAGTCGATTTCTGTTTTAATTCTCGTGTGTTATAGTTACTGGATGTTGAATAAATTTATAAATAGAAATTAAATAAATTATGATCCTCACATCTATCAAATTATCAAAAATATTTTTTATACTACAACTCATTGTATGTAGAGGGAAGTACATTAAACTAACAAACTGATATAAAACGACATTATATTTATAAATTTTACACTTTTTAAACATCGCACAATAATAAAAATTATTTGACAGAAGAAAACTATGCGAGACACAAAAGGCGGTCTAATAGTCAAATGGTCATATCTATAGCGTTTGATTTAATATTCACTATTATTCTAAGACATTTTGATTTTTATTCAAAATGATTAATAGTTTTATCATTTATGTATCCAGACATTCACTTCACAGAGATGAATATAAAAGTACAATTCATCCGTTTTATTTCACAATTTAATTAACACTTTTGTTGTATTTGTTATGATGGATGCGATACAAAAATTCCTTTTTTTTTCATTTATTTTTAATTATTTAATATTGTCAAACAATATACGATATTGTTTAAATAATATTATTTGTCTAAATTCCATAATCTAACTTCAGATTATTACTCAATATGTGTTTGAAAAATTAACAAAAGAATCAATCCACCTTCCTTTGTTATACATAAACATCAAGTATAAATTTATCCCTCACAAAGCTTATTTGCCGGAGATCACAAAATTCCCGTTAATCAAGTCACAATGAAGACGGTTCTGTATTATACACGCAGCTGCACTTAACACACGTGTTCGTATCAATAACAGCTGCTTATTGATCGGACAAACAAAAATATAAATGTGAAAAAATACCCCATATATAATTACTATGGAAACGAAAGTGTTGGAAACAAAATAGAAAATTATATTCCATACATAATATAAAGATCAATTGCATTAAATTAGAAATCTAGTTCACAAATACATCTTAATCTCAATTAATCAAATATATTGACTCAATGAGGACCAACGTGATAAATTTGCGTGCCTATTTGCTTCATTACGATGATTACTGACTCCACAGTTGAACGATCTATTTACTGTTTGAATTTAAAATGTCTTTAATATGAACACTGAGAACAACCTGAAATTTCCTTTACTACATACATGTATTTTTTTTTTGTATTATTCGATGATATTTCAAGGAACATTATTGCCTTATCTTACCAATCTCCAACGCTATAGACGGTTTCTTCATCACTATGATGCGGTAATTTTAGTGAAAAATATTTCGCATTACACGCGTCATCAACAGTCGCAACTTCAATTTGAAAGTCCTCGTATAGTATGAATGTATGAATGTCATCTGTATTGTGTCTAAACAAATATGTATTCAAGATGAAGTCACGCAAGAGATCTGATACATGCTATCACTTGGCAATCAAATTAATATATATCCAGCTGGGTCTTGATAGTTATCTACGATCTTTGATCTATTATAACATCGCGATCGAAGATTTCATACGGCTATTTCGCTACGGTTAATTAAGACCTTGTTTTCGCACTTTAACGTAATGTTAAAAATCTTGTTTCTTTTTCTTGTAAGAACTTTAGTAACAAAGATAATAATGTTACAATATTTTTTATTAAAAATTTTAGTATGTTTTTAATAACTAGTACCGTGAAACTTTTATATAATTATAGTGCATTTGTCTTAAACAAAATATGATCGTAACTTCTCAATCATTTGGTGAGGGGCGAAAACCTGTTTGGCTCAAACCCGCGTTGAATGCTGCAGAGCTGAGATGAAAAAGTTTGTTTATTTTATACTAGATGTCGCTACGGTACTCCTGAATCACGCTAGCGTTTGTTACACCGGAGAAGTATAAGTCTCTCCAGGTTCGGTGTTGGCGTTAACTTTGCGCAGAGGCAATATCGTAACCAATGAGGTTAATCCGAGGTGCGATTATTGCTAGTTGAAAACTTTACCAATACCCCGCCTTGTGGTCGTGAAACACCGACCGCTATGGCAATTTTTGAACGGCTGTGATGGCCTAATAAACTTTCTTACTCTTATCTTTAAAAAATTTAAAGATGAATCAAGCATACATAGAAATTAATGAGTCTAATTAGACTCGTAATTACGAAGCCGAGGTGGCTTTTCCGAGAGCATCATTATAGTAAATCTGTGTTAATACGAACCAATTGCTCTTAAGTCGTAACATACGGTAAGCCTACTTTATTTACGACACGCTAAGAATTATTATAGTCTTTATATCTAAGGTAATAAAATTTAGGGTTGGCTGTAGATATTTCGTTTTGTGGTAAACTGTATACGGGCTGTGGGAAATAGAAATGAGGGTTTGACGGATTTATGCTGCCGTTGCGGTTGCCTCCTAACATACAGTCATGGGACATTGAATAACTGTACATCGCTCGCTCGGCTGACTGACTTGGACTTTTCATGTTTATTGATGAAACGGTTAACAAGCTATTCAAATAAATTTAATATTTAATGTTACTACTTCATTTCCAATGATCGTATACGTTTATATAAATATGATTGTATCTGGAAATTTAAATGAGGATTAAATAAAAAAAAATCTTTAGTAAATTTACGCTCGTATATTATAAAAATATTGTGAAAAACAAACTGATAATGATCATAATATTATCTCAATGCTGTTCTCGAGAAATATATCGAATAACTTGATTTAAAGTATTATTCGAAACGTATGGTTAATGCAACAAGTGCAAATATGTATTCCTGTTCTAAATGAGATTAACAGCACCGGTCCAGCCAAATAAGGTCTGGCGAGTTGGTCTTGACACGATCACAAATATCTGTCACTGACAAAAGACCTGCATACGAATCATTAATAGGAATATGGGATCCCGTCTCGTGACACATATAATATATTAAATACGTACAAGATTTGGACTCGCAAAAGAAATTATATACATTCAAGAATAAAATTTTATAATAACTAGAGCCTGTTTAGTGTAATGTAGAATTAATTTTTAAGTTTCCCGTAATGTTTTTCTATTATTTGTGCCTACGAAAAATATACCAATTAATTGAATATACGACATAATTAATAATAATCTGTCACAATTACATTACGTGCATAGTTTTCATAAAAAAGTTTATCTAATCTTGATATTAAACCAAGATTTGTTATTTTAATTTATCAAAAGTTAAAAGCATTAAGTACATTCAAGTTTAATTAAAAAAACTCCCGATATGTTTTAATATGCATATATTTGGTCAGAATTCCTTTAAGTTTTATCATTATTTATTACCTGTAAATGCGTTGATTCAATTATTATTTTTAAATTTAATCGGTGTATTAGAATTTTAAATCGTTTGTCCGTTTGTTAGTGATACAAATGGAATTAATAAGTTTGGACTAAGCTTACAGTATTAGTAATTGAAGAAAAGTATGGGTGTAGTATCAGCATTAATTTACAAAACATTAATAATATGCTGAACGTCTTAGTTAGCTATAGCAAGAAACGAAGATCATAATTGTTTTGATTCATTAAAATTACATATACTGTGAATAAATTAATTGAAAATAATTTTTATATCAGTTTATGTACTTCTGAATACTAAAAAGAGATAATTTATTGAGAAAAAACATGAAGCGTGTTCATTTGATTCATTTGTGGTCACATATCTCATAGCGGTATACGTATCATACAAAGGACACGTTGCTATAAATACATCACAGTAACACAATAACACCTGAACTATTTGTCACTCATAAAAGATACAATATATATAAATAGGAAGTGTAAAAAATATAACAATAGTATTATAAAGATTAACTCATTTATTTCCTTGTAATCTATCTTTTTTATGAACATTATTTAAAATCAAAACGTTGTATTTTAGTACAGTAGAGTTGAACGAATGGCCTTCGCTACACCAATTATGAACTGCTCTAAATAATTGTATCTGGGGAGTCGTTTTTCTTAAATTCTACATCAGCTTCCTCAATTACAAAGAGCCAAGTTTATGAACATTTGTTTTGACATGTCGCAACCTTCAGATTGTACATTGTACATTTCTAATTTTATATTATGATGGTATTTGGTTCTTTGTTGTCGCTTTTAAAGCATTTCCCCTTTTGTTGCATCTCATTTTAAAGAACTAAAAAAATTCAAGACATTTGGAACGTTTTCTTATATCGTTTCCAGTTTTTACAAAATCTTTCAACTGTACATTTTTTTTTAATTATAAAAAATATGTTAATTTATAACTAATATTAAAATGAGTCATGCATATTCTCCAAATAAGTTGCAACTAAATTTGTTCAAAACTTAGCAGCATATATATATTTAGACTTTCGTTTTTTGTTTATTACTTAATCAGTTTCTTTATAATTAATATTTATTATTTAATTATATCCTCTAAAAGTTATTGAGAGTTTCCTGTAATTTGTTAAAAAACATAAAATCCATATATGTATAACTTTAAAATAAATATCTTAAATAATGTCCTTATTTTATATATATTTATTTAGTGTGGATTTTAACTAGACAGGTCAGTATTTTATATTTAAATCCACAGAGGTCATACGTGTAATTTTCAAATAATAGAACGCATTTAAATGCTCTCGATCTTACATAGATGATGTATAAAAAAAAGTTTCAATACACGAACTTGGTTTTTGAAATCACTACCAACATTATTGTTGTTAGAAAAATATAACGTTAAGTTAAAGATATCTCTTAGCGGGGATTACGGTAATTCTTAAGATGTTATTCAATAAATATCTACCTTCAATTCTGTGTCGTGTGCAATCTGACCTCACATAGCTTTGACCGGTTCTGTACGTAAGTTTAGTGTGTCATTTTTTTCGCAAACTCCGATAAATTCTCATTAAAGTATTTTAGACGTTACAAAGTTAAACTTGTGTGTAGTTTTAAACTCGCTGCCGTAAAATACCGAACTAAATGTTATGTTCTAGTTATTCTGAGCATCGATTCCGCTAATTCCGGAGTCGGCGGACGATGACTTCCAAGGTATTCATTGGCGATGGACCTTTAATACGAACTGTTATTTGATCGTGACTTTTCATATCGACTATAAGAAAATATATTAATTTCATTTTCATTGATAATCTCTCACGTTTTATCAATGTTAATTACGTATATGGTAATTGTAAAATTAAATCAATAAATAATACTTCAGTGTTAGTACTTCGCAAATTTTTTATTGTAATAACATTTTTAATAAATGTGTCCTAGCTAAACTCAACACTAGAAATAATTTCAATTATTTACGGTTGCATTTATATGTAGGTTTGATACATAGCAACGGTTTTTCTTCGATCATTTCATCTCGTGGCCTAAAAACTTCCAAATATTTCGTAATTTTCATCTCCAAATACATTTTTTTCTATGTTGATTCTGTTGTTTTACTTTCAAAACAAATTAAAAATAGAAAGTTTGCGTGACAGATGCAATAAAAATAATAGTACAGTTAAAATTATAGGCGCCAACACTTACATATCATTCGTAAGTAGATTAGGTTACATTGGATAAATCATCTTAAGAATTGCCTTAATTATAATCATTAAACTATATGATAAAATAATGGTGGCCTCGTAAAACGATGCTATTTATTACTCATATCCGTTAATATAGAATTATCTTTATACAGATCAGTGAGTCCGTAAAGCGTTGATTTCTAAGTAATTTTCGTTAAACCGGTCATGTTGAGATGTATTTGAAAGTGAACCATTACAATCCAATACGCAGTACATCAAGCTGTAAATGTTTAACAGTACTAAGACTAAACAGCTGCTCTTACAAAACAATTGTTCTGAGAATGGCACGAGCTGTCCAGTCAGCAGTGACAGTAATAATACCACTTACAGCCGTACCACGAATTACTGGTAATGCCAATTATAAATTATATATTATGATCACTGCCTCGTTCCAATCTTATTACGATATTAGAAAGTTTCGGTACTGATGTTGGTGATGTAGTCTAAACTATAATATGTAATTCTTACCAATTTTTTTCTTCAGTTCTTACATTTTCGACACACCGAAATGGTAATGCATTGTACCACAAACTCGAAACTCAACAATACAGATACCATACAATAAAGTCGTGACTCGTATTGGGAGTCCTATTAGCAGCTTGCATAACCTTGGAGTATCCACGGTCACGATTTACAGTTTTTATTTTATAGGTCTTATTCCTTTTGCGATAAAGATTATTTTTCATTATTCCATAACTGAAATCTGTGTCGCTCATGCTACAGTTACAGCCTGCATTGTTATTTACAACATAACACGAAATCTACAAACATATTCAGGCTTTTAAACTAAGTTTCTTTTTTGATAAACTTAAAAAACAAAATTATATAGATGTTGCCTGTATACATTACAGTCTTATTTCAGTATAAAATAATGTATAATTATTAATTTATTTACCAGAAAGTTTTAAACGTGTTCCAAATTGTAGTATGTAATATAATTAATTAGACTAGAAATTTTATCGTCTAATAAAATTAATATGTGGACCAAACAAGCCCTCAGTAAATCCGGATGTAATACATATAAGTTAGTTAATTTAATATAAATTATAATGATTCTCATTACTTACATTATGTATCGCTGTAATAGTAATAGCAATTTTACCTCATCAGGTACAGCAATAATAGCTGCTTCTAGAAATGCTAAATGAATTATGAACATATTACGAATTGATTAGGATAATCCTGAGGTAAATTCGATTGAATCATGATTCGCGAGTTTATTAAATGTTTAAACATAACACGCTGTCCTTAATAACGTATTAGTTTGTAAGAGAAGAAATTTATGATAGGTTCCGTATTAAACGATGTCTATTAGAGCTATCTAGATGCGCTATCAGATATAACTAATGAGACTATTAGTGTTACAGATCATTGCTATTTATTGTTCCTAATATACTTATTACATATAGAAAATACATGCATTAGTTGTATCAAGAAATGTAATTTTAATATTGTTTTGACATAGTACATAGTATTATGTTTATAATAAATAATTATTATAAAAGATTTCCATCGTCAAACACGAAGCTTTTCCGACATGTTAATCGATCATTTTTCGCCTATTATATTATTAAAGTAAATATTGAATGAGAAACGTGTAACGCTTAGTATCTAGTGTGACGACCCAATACTAGTAGTAAGCGTACTGAACAATTGCACATCTGATTGTCGGTTGAGGAAATGATTCATGATTTTTAACAATTTTGTTTCTCCAAGGTTATAAATCGCTACATCATGTGTTGTTTGTTCTACGTTATGCAAACCGATCATCAAATATCCGTGACTTCACACCTTTTGTTATACAACTATCTTCAGCTTCGTGTGGGGTGCTCGTTGTATGTTTGTCTTTCCCAGCATCGTTTAGCTCCAATCTATTAATCTTTATCACATCTACGTCTATACAAGTAAATTCTTAACGTGTTCATTACCGTCTAAATGGCCATGATAAATTTAATTTAACAAGATTCAATAATTTATTGTAATATAAAGCTATAGAGTTCATGAAGTTTCTTATTCAAGGTCGAGAATGAAATACTCTGATAATAAAAACGAATAAACGCCATGATTACAAAACAATATTAAACTTTCACTTGGACGTTGGACAATTACGTCAATTGCTGATATTAACTGTATTTAGGTCCAATGTAGAGGTTATTATATTAATAACTGGGTATTTACTAACCACAATATCTAGGGATATTCATTGTTACATTTAAATAATTAAACATTTCAATATCCTTAAACTATATACTAGGATTTTCTGGGATAATAAAATAGAATGAATACTTAAACTCTAGTGTTCTTAATTACAATTGCTATATTTAAAGATTTTTCTATTTCCCAATTCCCATCCATCGTTAAATAATAAGAAGATGAATCTGTATACAGAAATCTTATCACATATAACAAAGCCCATGTTTATTCTATAAAAATAATTTTGGACAATTTCGGGATCGTTGACCCCAACGGAGACTTTCTATCTGTTTATCACATTTTCGAAGGTCACTGATAACAGTTGCTTACACAACATCTTATTGTCAGTGATGTAATCGTGATAACAATGCTTTATAGAAATGTTTTACCATAACAATGGGACGCCCCGATGGGAACGGGCCTATCACACTTCAATCAAATGCCGATAAAGATGTGCTCAAAATCATTGGATTATAACGTTTGAAATGTTGTAACATTATATATTATGTGTTTTGTTTTCCAAACCAAAATTATGATTTACATATTCATAATATCGCCAGTTGCAAGTTTATAATATTTCTAACTACATACTACTGTTACTTTCGTATTTAAGACTTTAATTTTACAGTATTTTAATGTTTAATCATAATTATTGATGTCGTAGAAGTTTTTAGTTCTAGATGTTCTTATCGTTTTAATTATAAGTTTACACTATTTATTATGATTGGTTATTTTACTAAATCTTGTCAATTCGATTATGTTACATCGACCTATTCATTGACAAATATTTTTAGTTTTGAGATTTAATACATTTTATTTTCAAATCTCTCCGGTTTGAAATTTGATGTTACAAGTATGAAATATTCTCTCAGTAGTCATCTAATTAATATACCATATAAGTAATCTAGGTTCTATTTTCACCAATCGTAATTCTTATATTTTTTAAAAATTATTGAAATTGGTATACGGGTTAATTGATCTTGATACATAATTTATATTAAAAGTTTTCTCTTCGACATTTGTCATACACCGAATGTAGTTCTACAGATCTATTATATAAAAATGTTCCTTTTGATAATGGTCATTGCACGCTCCAAGCAACCATGGCACGTTCCGCCCTTTGTTGGAATTTTTTTACGAAACCACTTTATTCACATCTCGACTTTTTGTTAAATCGTTTTATTAAAGAAACTCATTGGTTTTCAAATTGTACTTTTTTTACATGAAATATGTATTTCTACGACGATCTGAGATTAGTTTTATTGTATTCGTTCGCGTCTTAAATATTTCTACATATTTTCTTACATTCATTATTAATATTTATATCTTTTTCATTATAATATTATAATCATCAGGCCTTGTGCTTTGAATATACTGAGTTTAGACTGAAGCCTAATATTGAAATCCTACTTTATATTATAATTGCGAAAGTTTGTGAGTGTGTGTGTATGTTTGTTACTTCTTCACGCTCAAACGACTGAACCGATTTTGATAAAATTTTGTATACAGGAAGCTGACGTATATAATAACATATAGGCTATTTTACATCCCGGAACTCCGCGGGTCGCAGCTAGTATTATATAATAATATTGTTATTTATGTGACGTAGGTATTACAAAGGGACGTGGAATGCCACCGTCGTATCGTGAGCTCGGTGGTGAGGCTCTGCGGTGGTGCGGACGTGGCTCGAGCTCTAGAACGTCGCTGGCATCTGCTGTACCTGAGGGCCATCGAGTGGGTCTGTCACTTGGAGGCCTGTATCGCTAAGAGTAATAATCAGGTAACTGTGACTTAATATAGATAAACGATGATATATACATATATGTATGGATATGTATGTGGATATATATGTGTCTAAATGAATTTAATATTTTCGGATTTTACTTCGCCTTTTTTATTTTTGATTACAAACTACATACATACTCCCGACGTTTCGGCTACTTTTCAGCAACTGCAATCACGAGCAGACGAGATGTGAGTGTGAGTGTATATATGTATCTGCCTCTAATTTGCTAGTTAGTTTATTTATTAATTATTTGGGATAATATGTATAAATGATTTGTAACAATAATTATAACAAATAGGACTTTATCTTTTCATCGGTCAAATCATTGTTTAGTCGTAACGATTTTTGATACGGTTTATAGGGAACTAAAATTTTCCATATTCTTTATTAAATAGCCACTTGTTTAGATATAATATAATTTTTAATGTTATTTAATAACCTGTTATTCCCATTATCCAATAGATATTGATTTAAGACAATTTTACATAATTATATCCTGTTTCTTTGTTATATCGTTTCAATTCACAACTTAATAAGCTATGTATAAGCAACTAATTAATATTTGGTAAGATTTCATCTATTTAAAAATGCACCTTCATATTTTGATTACATAAGTTAAGTGTCGCTCGCTGCATTTAACTTTCAACTGGTTACAAGATTTGAGTAAGCGAACAAAAAAGGAGTTTACTATTATAAAATTACTCAATGTTTTGATGATCTTTCAATACGTCAAGTGCATAGAATACATCTAATTCAAACGAATATGACGTAAGAGTTTCTTTATATAACTATTTTTGTGTACTGAGAAAATTATTTAACTTTTACTGTTTATTTTTTGAAATGACAAATATTTTTTATATCATAAACATTTATAATTTTTTCTCATTTGAAAGTTATGGTCATTTTGTGAATATCGTTATAGTGTCACAATAGTTTAATCAACCACCCGTCGCGATGTTTTCAAATACGACCCTAAATAGTTTATGTGGATTTGTAGTTTACATTTATGAGGGTTTGAACCTTAATATTTAGGGTTAGTGGAAACTATACAATTAAAGTATGGTTTTAAATGGATATAACTAGTGATTTGTGTGCACATACATTTGAATTATCCAAGCTCTGTCCAAATAAATTTATATACAACCCTTTGAGCCTAGCTTATAAATGAACGCACGATGTTATTGAATATAAAAGCTCATAAATTACTCTACGCAAACTCATTTCCGTTTAGTTATTATCTTTGTAATACATAATATTATGTATGTATATAAATAAATTAAATACTTTAATCAAATGATGTCATATTGAGCCTTGGAAATTTAAGTATAACAAAACTATAGACCAAAGAATTATTCATAATTGTTCAATTAAACAATTAAATTTGTATCAAGTAAATATTATTTTAAAGTATTCGTTTGTTCGCTGCTCATTTCTTAAAGAGAGACGAAACCTCTCAGCATTCGATGGATTCACCGTGCGGGTGTTTGGTCTAATATTAAATTTATTATTAAATAGTAAAGTGGTTAAATTCTTCGTAGATATAAATTTGTATATATTTTTTTCCAGAACTGCGCTTCAATAGAAGTAGCGAGTGATAGTGACGACGAGCCGGCTCTAAAACAACCTCGGCTTACAAGACGCGGCTCACCAAGACGACAGAGGACACCCATTAATGTTATACGGAGGAGCAGCTCGGAAGATAGCCGGCAGTCTGCGTCTGAGGTACGTATATACTGAAATATATAGTGTAATCTTCTTCTACCTGGCAATTTCCCGGCTATAGCCAGGGTCTGCCTTACATGTTGTGAATAGTTTTGGCTAATTGTTTTTACGACCGGCCGTCTGCCTGACATCAACCCTCTTGAGAATCGGCATTAATCAGTGATGTCTAAATATTCTTAGAAAGTACATACATATGACTCGGAAAAATTACATTGGTACTTGCCCGGGCCAGGATCGAACCCGGGCCCTCGAATAAATATATTACATACTCGTATATAACATATAACAAAGTCATGCATTCCTACTATTGATAATATACGGCCCAATGGACAATAAATCCTACTAATATTATAATTGCGAAAGTTTGTGAGTGTGTGTGTATGTTTGTTACTTCTTCACGTTCAAAAGGCTGAACCGATTTTGATAAAATTTTGTATACAAGAAGAAATCCGCGGGTAACACCGCGGGGCGCAGCTCATCATTAATAAAGACGTTACTATGATAGATATAATCATATATATTCCACTACAAAACCAGTTGTTATAAATTTCTTAATATCTAATCATCGTTGAATTTCCAGGAGGAACAGGAGTATGCAGTGACTTACACCTGGCGAGGCTTCGGATCGGACTGTGAGACCGAGCTGGTGAGGAACAGAGACAGCGAGATGGATGAGAGACGAGTTCCGAGTGTGGAGGAGGGAGAAGACAGACATACGGATCAGACAGTACCTGGTGGAGATAATGTTGATGGTGAGCGAACTTGGGATATTTATTTCATTTATTTATTGATTCGTTTATTCAATTATTTATTTATTTATTCGTTTATTCAATTATTAATTTATTAGGTTTGCTAGCAATTGTTACATTTTGATGAAACAATTTATTAATTTACATACTAATTACTTTCTACATGTACATCTATATTAAGCAAACACGACATGTACGATACATATATCCTGTTTAAGTGGTTCTAATTTGACAAAAACTGTAAAAAATTATCAACTCGCTAGGTCAAAGATTCACTTGTAATGCAATGTAATGCATTTAACAGTAATAATTGCTGTTTGGTATAGAATTGTTCGTTGGTTTTATAGACATTTAAATCTTCTTAATAATGCAATATGATTTTTACACTTGTATATCTGTAATATGATTTTTTTTTATTCGCAATAAGATAATTGGTTGAATACAAGTGCTCCAGTTAGTGAAACTATTAAAAAAATAGGTTTGCAATATGTTGTATAGGTTTTAATGAAATTAAAAATTGGAGTGGTATAACAAGATTTTTGAATTTTTAATATTCATAATTTTAATGTCATCAAAAGACGTCATTCATACTTAAGGCAGTAGCTGTTATATAAGCAGCAGAATATAAATGAGAGAGTAAGGTGAAAATTTTGTAAAGAAACATTAAAATTAAACATTAATATTGAAGTTCTCTTAACTTATGTGTTTGCTAATTAGTATTCCCACTTTAATGTCTTCTGCCTATCCATTGACTAGTCATGAATCATGGTAAGATTTCCATTTTCTCACATAAACAATATTGCACAACTCTCCACAACTAATTTGAATAACAATGACTTGTTGATTTCTTTATTGGAATAGCTCATTGATATCATGCCTTGTTTACAAACAAATAAATACACAAGCACATTTCAATACGCATTACACGACAATCGGAACAATCGCCTTTTATTTCCCGTTACAGGTATCAGTGTACGCGAAACTGTGAAAATAGAAGATATACCGAAAGAAATGAGCACTCCACCTACAGTTGTTAAGAGAAAAAAGCCAGTGAACACATCGAAATTCAATCAATCTGACAGGAAATCTAAGAATTGTGCCACGTTCTACTTCAGACATCACGATACGGATTCTGATAGACAGGTTGTTGAGACTGACGAAAAGTCGCAAGAGGAATCTTCGGAAGAGGAATGGACTTACGTGGACGGACCCAAAATAGCGAACGAAGATTCCACGGACTTAATGACATCATCCATCGAAATACAGTGTGACTTACCAGTAGATGACAAGAAAGATAAACTTCCATCCCCGAAAAAATTGGAGTCCACAACGCCAGATCTTATTAGAGTCGATCAGAATTCAAGGTGTAAAGATCTAGAACGATTGGTCCTACAGGCTGAGGAATTGGTTCAGAAACAGGCACAACAACAAATGGCTAAGAAGAAGAATACACGAAACCTGAAACCATTATTGTTTGACGAGGAAGGTAAATCGAGCAGGGAAAAGATGTCGAGAATCAAGGAATGGTTGAATCAGAGTCCAGAAGACAAAAACGATAGCAATCAGGTAAATAAATTACAGTGGTTTTAATATATATTGCGTATTAGTAGTTAACTAAAGCCTAAATTTCCAACTACACAAAGGTACTTGAGACAACCTAGCTCTAAAAGCATAATGTAAGCCTATATATGAATTTTCGAAGCCTACACAGTAAATTAATAAACTAGAAAGATTTTTACTGTCATCAGCTTGTCCAAAGAAATAAAACTCAATTAATTTGGATAAGATGTGTTAATAAATAGCTATATTTAATTTAAAGTGCACTGAAAGCTACGATGCGTCCGGGGAATACACTACAGAGAGCGAAGTCGATACATCACTGACGTCAGAAGAAAGAAACATTCATTCATCTATGGACATGAGCACATCAACTTGTACTGTGACCCCGACGCATCACGCCAAGGTAACCATTTAAAAATATAACTACATATACAACATTTTTAATAACCGAATGTATCAATGTCACTAAATCTATGATTATTTGTCCTAACCTTGCAAAATATTGTAATAAGTTAATAACATTCACCCTATCATTCATTCATTTAACACTACATCCGTGCTAACAAGGTAACGCTACGCAAGAAGAGGAATGCCACACGGCCATGGTCTGTGTCGTGTCTGTCACAGCTGAGTGCTGGCATTATAGCCACGCCCACTGATGACGTCATCAACATGTCCATATCAGAGTCCGCATTGAACACACTGGCATCGCCGAGAAGAGTCACACCCGGGAATTCAAGCTCTAAATTAAGGGGAAGCTCTACCACTGTACAGGTATAAGAATGTGTAGGACATATATGTACTTTGTATAATATAATATGTGCTTTTATAATGCTTGTTTTTTACTCTGTGGCAGTTAGGTTTTTGTTTTAATGTAGCTTCGCTATTTAGTATTTAAGTGTTGTTGATGCTTTTATTTAAATATGACGTCTCTATGACGACGTTAGTTCAATTAATTCAATATAAAATTATTATAATAAATATCTTCCTCTAGGGTCACATATCAAGCACAAATACTATGACAGAGGCTTGTACGTCGTGTGTGGAGGCTAACGATAAACAATGTTGGTTGAGAAGGAAAAGGTTGAAACTGAAACGACAGAACAACACTAGGAGGGAGAGATTAGTTAAGAGTCTGTCGTTCTGTGGAAGGTTGAGTCCAGAAATAGAAGACAAGAACGAAAGAAGTGCGGCCAGTGACCCCGCCACTAGTAGGAAAAATAGGTATTGACTTCTACATAAAATATTTATTTATAATCATTCGATTTAGACTGAAGAATCTCGCTTAGAAAAATGAAATAAATAACATACATAACTTTTTTAGATTTTCCCAAATAAGTATATAAAGTATAAAATAAAAAACTATATTTGAAGTTGTTTCAATAGTTATTATATTTTCTGTCTAGATTCGACACAACGTCAACCTCAGACAATGACAGCGACGCGGATCTCATCAAACAGCAGTTGGCAACCATCGCGAATCTGAGGAAAAGTATCGAGAAAACACACATCTCGAGCAAAGAACAAGATAGTGCCATCCCTGAGCAAAACGAAACAGAACTAGTTTGTCCTAGCTTTAAACTTGGCCCCGAAGGTGGGGCCGTACGACCTAGGATGACTAAAAGTATGGAGAGAGAGAGAACGTTTTTGGCACTTAGTCTAGGAGACCCCAGTCAAATGTGGGACCTCAGCGTCGACAAGGACTCTGAGAGTATAACTGCTGGTACCGAGGGACATAGCTCTTTTTCGGAACAAGCTTGGGATTTCTATCAGGTACGGTATTAAAATCGATATTAGCCTCTCATCGAACATTTAATAATCAATTTTTGTACATTATCATACATTTTTCATCAGGAGAAATACAACTCGGAACCGTATTCTGAAGCTCCGGATTCAGACGCAGCGAGACGGCTGTTGGAATTTGGAGATGACTATAGAGCATTCCTGGACTCCCAGTCCGATTGTTGTTCTAGTCTGTCAGCACACCCCGACGATACGAGTCCCACAACGAGACGACGACGACCGCCGTCCGACACACGGGAACGAAGCCTGCCGAGATATAAACGTCCCACTAGAACATCCCCTGTAGAAACACCATCACGCAAACCCAAGAAATCCATGTCCAGCGCTGAACGGAAGAAAACACTATTGGACAGTCTGGAAAGATCCAGAAATAATACGAGCATTGAGAGCAACGAAGGCGTGCGGCGAAGAAAACAGTCAGAGAACGAACGTAAGAACAGCAAACGATCGCCTGACTTCGATCTCCTCAACGTACAAGCGCTAAGCCGCAGACGCCACAGCTCGAACTTAACTAGCGACGAAGTTAATAGTTCCTTGGAATACACCGAAGTGAACAATCGACCTGATATCTTGGACTCTCTGAACAGACGTCGCAAGGAAAAAGAAGGAGGCACAGAGTTACAAAAGATCGCTCTGTCTGAACTACGACGACGGTCGACCGGCAGCGCTGACTCGGAAGGGGAGTCCTCTTCACCCAAACACAGCCGGAGAAATTGGGGCGATTCTGATTCAGAGGCCGACGAGGTCAAATCTCTGGTCCGCCGGTCGAGCACGCAGTTGGAAGTGACGGAGGCTTTACTGGCGCGACACGACTCATCACCGGATATCCTGCGGGCCTTCGACTATGTAAGGCCTATAGATTATACATACACGGACTGCCCCACGGCGCGCCCGTGCCTTAGAGCTCGGCTGTGTCTCGCTGTCACGGCCTTTTCTATATTAGTCATAGTATATATACACATTCAATGACATTTGGCTTGGGCTTGTGTGATTATTATCGTGTATGTAAGTATTCGTATTTGATATGCAGCGATTGTCAGATTGCTTTCAAATCTATTATAAGATAATTTATTCGAAGCTTTTTTATAAGTATTAAATGTATTTATTATTATCGGCATGATATATTAACTTAATATAAGATAAAACGTCCAGAAACACATTCCAGTAATTTTAAGTATAATACTAATATTAAATGTTTAGTATTTATGTACAAATAACGAGCATTTTTACAGCGTTACCACTAAAGTATTTATAATCTGACAATCGCAGGCCACATAACCTTTGTGGTGACATCTGTCATATCTGACAGTTGACATTGACATCGCTAAGAGTGTGAGTGTGTTATTTGTTTGACGTGATTTAACTTTTAAAATCAATTCTGTCTCCAATTAGCAAGTAAAATCGCGTCAACGTTCAAATCACATGTTTATTTTTTATTTTATGTTTTATTCCCTTAATTGTCTTGAGTTGATTTACTAACACACGTTTGTGAATGTTTGTGTAGTATACTAACTGTTCCGTTTTTATTTTTTCCTTTTTTTTTTATTAAACCCTTTCCTTTATGGTGGCAATGATTCGGTGCTAGAACAAGACCTAACTTATAGGTATATTCAAGTAATATATTTATTATCTATACAAGTTAATAACGGGTTCGAGGGTTTTAAGACATTATTAATTGTTGCATCCACAGATGACGTGTACAACAACTGTCACATGTCACATTGACGTTTGAATCACAGTCAAAAAAAGTTTGTCTTTTAATTTATAGCTAGAAGTTGTATTTTTTATTGGTTGTGTAATTTAATAAACGCCTAAGTCTCGCATAATGTTAAAAGTATAGTAATATGTGATTTGACTGAACTCCGAGATCTAAAGTTACAATTTTGTGAATGTATTAATATGTTGATTAGGGCTAGGTTGTTAATTGATATATTTACAAAGTGTAAAAAAATAGTGATCTTTGTATAAATGTTTACAACAATAAATGTTACGATTTGGAAAATCAAAATGGAGTTTCAGTCAATTAACACCCATCTCTATCAACATTTTTATAATCAAAATTTATAAAATCCTGTAAACATTTTAGGCTATCTGCTTTTCTAAACTATTTGGCCTTGAATTTCCTGCTTTGGCACTCGAAAACTAAAACATAACGCTGTGCAAAAATACTCGAATCCAAAACACCGCATGATAAGATTAATGCATGTGTTGAAGTGTGAAGAAAAGTTTGGATGATTTTTTTTTCTATATATGTAAGGGGGAATGTCTGTAGGTATTGTTTTGTACGCAGACGGAGGTGGTAACTCGTTGCCGAGACAACATCAACCTTTTGGAGGTAGCTCTGTCTGAGGCGTCATTATCACCAACATTACAGAAAGAAATAAGAGGTTTGTTATTTTTTGTTTACTTTTTTTTATTTTCCATCAACCACAAGTTTGAAAATAAACGCGTTATATCAAAGATAGGCTACGAAAATATATAAAATTTGTTCAGAACATTAATATTTACGAGTAAAATTCTGTATTATTTGATATTGTTTCGTATATTTCCATATATTTGACTTTAGTGTTAGATTTTCGTAAACATGCAATTTATCTCATGACGTCAGTGATTTTTTTACAATTTTTTTATCTCAGTTTCAAGATTCAAGACATATACAATACATGCATTATAACCATCTTGACAAACGATTAATTATGTATCACAACATAATTTATTCCAAGAAATCATTAATTTAGGTCCAGTTCACTGAACTTTCGAGTTAATTAACAAAAAAAAAAACAAAGTAAGTAAAAAAATTCTTTTTTTTTTAACAGGTTGTTCAGCAACTCTTTGTAAAGTATATTCTTGTTTAAATTATATTAAATGTGGGTTAAAGAATATTTTACCTTAAATAATTGAACATCGAGATCTTGTTATTTGCAAAAATGCGTTCGACAGCGGTTTCCTTACTTGGGTTACCAGTCTACAGGTTTTGAACCCAAGCCTTTTAGTGCAGGAGTCAACTGACTTTTTATATGCATATATCCACTATTTTTTCAATTATTCCTAGTATTCGATAAATGTCATGTTCTTAAACCAATAAACAATTTATATTTTAGGACAAAAGAATAGAGTATATTATTATAGCACGTAATTGAATTGCCTACTAATATGAAATAATAAATTTCATGTATTAATAAATTGTAATAAAAAAAATATTTAGAATATAATTCAAAATTTTAAATAATACAAGCTCTTAGACTATGAATCTCGTTCGTGATCACAAAGACTGTAGACTGTATTTTGGATTCCGCACTCGTTTGCCTCGACTCGGGTTGCAGCAACTTAATATCTACCCAATTAAAAATGTTCTCCCTTCGTACAATACTGTGGTATTAAATCTGTAAGGCACATGAAAATCATGGGTCATTTTATTCAATCATATCTGTAATAATATTAAATTAGAAACGATTCAAAACAACATTAGCGTCTGTTCAAATGTTACAAATGACGCATATCAAAGTACATAATGTAACAAATGAGTTGTTATCCATTCGTCACGTGTGGGTCGAAGTAACAAATAAAACATTAGACACTACACCTAGATGTATTGGAATATCTTTTCAGAATTTATTAATAAAATATAGATTTTTTTATGCTGACTATATTAGTTTCACAACACATTTTTTAATGCTCTAACAAGTCACCAACTATACTTATATGTATATATTAGTTTGTATTTGTATGATATTTCAAAAAAAAACTAAACCACAGACAATCCCGGAAGTAGCGATATGGCGCGCGAACCCGCCTTGTCGCTTATATTGTCTATTTTCGCTCATAGAGACCGAACGGTTTAAACGAAAGTGAGGAAGGAAGTCATCCTAACTGCCATCCTAAATTTCTAAATACAAAAATAACTAAAAATTTCTAAAGTTCCTTTTTGGAAACTATTTTTTTTAACACTATCAATGGTTTAGTTGAATTATTACAAAAATGCCCCATACGTCACATGAACATAAATAAAACGATCCATTAACTTAAAGTAAATGCTTGTGGTATGCGTTGTTAAAACTTTTTAGACTTAAGCGAGAAGATTGCTTAAAAGCATTCATAGGAGATAAGTACGTAAATAGTTAGTCCAGAAATATACTTAGAACATCGTAAATAGACGTGTATCATAGGAACAGATCTTCTTATGGTATAGTTATGTTAGTAGTGTTCTAACAAGTTATTCGAGATGGCTATAACCACTTTTTGACTAAGCCACATTTTTTCTAACACAAGTCATAAACTATATCGAGTAAGCTATAATTTATAACTATAGTTAATATTTTTTGTTTACATGTAAGTTACTGTCATTAATGTTTGAGTTTCATTTATATTTATTTTTGTTTATTTCGTCTGACTACTTTTCAAAGACTTCTATCTGTATCTAGAATCAAATAAATCTGCTAAAATATTTCCACAAACAGTCCATTTAAACGTGACAATTTATTAGAGTATTACGTATTGATGTGATATTTTTCACACATGAGATCATATAGTGATGAAAATCAAACAGGATCGTTGCAATTCAGTCATTTCTTAGTAACAATCTGTTTGGAGTGCTGTATACTCGCTACGAAACTATGGTGACCAAAGTTCTTGTTTTTATCAGGACTCCTAGATATTTTAAACGAAAATGTGAGTTTACTACAATATATTTATGTTCACGTTTTTTTTCTTTTTTTCAACCATTTAACAAGAACAGTAGAAAGATTACATTTATTTTAAATAGGTCGTAATTGCAAAGAATGCGGACTAAACACGGGTGAAGCGTAAATACCTGGTAACTATTATCTTAGTTGGTTCGTGTTTTAACTGGCTTGTGTCCATTTTAGATGAATTACAGTTGAATACTTAAAAAAACTACCAGCACAACATTAGATTAATCGATTTATGTATATTTATAAGCGAGAGAAATATATCTAAATTTAAACTTTTTCTTAAATATTTAAAACAAACACGGATAAAAGGTTATTACTCTCATTGTCCTCGCGTAAATAATATTTTTATTGGTTTAACAGCGAAAGGTAAATGTTATGTATATCATATTAAATATCATTACATTAATTGTGTGGGATTTAAATAACCTTCATAAGTAATTGTAATATATCAAGATAAAATATATTGCGGCATTTTGTAACCAAAATAGCCTTTTTAGTATTACTAATGCTTGTATATTTTTTTACTTGCAGATATTTCGTTTAACTCATATTTTATTTATATTTGGTATTGTCTTTCTAGAATATTCGAAGGTGACCTCGTTAACTTATGTTTGGTGAATATATTTTTGTGCAAAACAAATATTTAAATGTTAGTTTCATGCAATTCAATAGATGTTGCTAAAACTTTAGTTTTATTTTTGTGATGTATCTTTTTTAAACGGCATCCAGGTTAGATTTTTTTTTTAGTTCGTTATAAAAAAAAATAAGTTTATTTAAAAACATATTTTATTTATAAAATGAATTAAATAGATAATTGAAATAAAAATTCACTAAGTAGACATTTAAAAACTATTTATTTGTCCATTGATTTCTTATCGACTGTCATTTTTAAAACCTAAAAGCGTTGTAATCGCTGTATTTTTACGTGAAACAATAGATCGTTTAGCTGCAACCGCTGGTTTGTTTCGTTTGTAAAGGTGAAGTACACAGCCAGTAGATCAGCTGTAGTCGCGAGTGACGGACGTGTCCGTTACAACTAATATATTCGCGCGTGTCTTCTGAAGTGTCTAGTTTATATGTATGTTACATTGTGTACACACCTTAAACTTGAGCTCACTTTTCCGATGCGCATGAGTTGATACTTTCGCTTTAATCGCAATTTCCATATATTTTTTTATAGTATAATCAAGGCGATATGTTCATTATTCGTTCTATATTTCTAAACGCCCGCAAGGTTACAATGTTTACGAATTCGACCTTCGTGCGATTCTAGACTAGCTCTATTGCGATGTAAACATTAAAATGCTATTTTAAAAGTATTAAAATTTTATAATTTTTCTGTTACGTGAGATTCAAATATCTGTAGGAAAAAATATATTTCAAACTGCCATTAACCCGGTATCCCGTTTTGATTTAACATTACCCTAAATTCAGAGCCAAGCCTAGTTTTTAACGAGCTCTTTTCCTATCCTTTTCAGTACAATTGTTTATAAACAATAGGAACTTTGGACAATTTATATAAGCCCGTTTGTAAACAAAGTATTTTTATTGAAATCAATACATAAGTCATATATAAAAATTTCTACATTTATTAGAAAGTTTTACAATTATACGTTATTTACCGAAACGACTATGGTAAGTAACCGTTGATTATAGTGTTTAATACACTGAAACGGAAAATATTAATTCTAGTATTTTTGATGCTAATTCTGGTAATGAAACAACTTTCTCATATTACATAATAGTTTTCATCAAAAGAAACATCATTTGTAAAAATATTCTTCTCTGCTTATAAACGGATAAATTTAAAAATAATTTAAATAATAGTGGTCCATAGTTGATTTCACTTTGTGAAAGCAAACTCTTAAAGAATTTTGCGGTTGTTTTTACGTAATTTTTATGTAGAGCAGTTTCTTTTGAATTAAATATATCTTACCATTCATACAAACGAACGTGAAAGAAAAATATTAATGTCTTCGGTTTTATACAGATATGAGAATTATTTGAAATTGATTTAAATGGATAATCAAACAGTAAAATTTACTGTAATTATCTTCTTCCCATGAACAGTATTAGAAAAATATCAAAACGAATAGAAAGCAATGAAAACTTGATGTTTTTGTATGACAAAAATTTAACCAAGTTAAAAATTGTAAATATTCAACAATTTATATATATCTTGTTAACGATTGGTTAGTTTAAAAGATGAGATCATTGCTTACATCTGAGCACTGATTCCATAAAAACTTATCCCACACTTAATATGGTATACAGCGAGGTAAACTTGCTCCATTATATACGTATATATTATATTTATGTTATATAACGTTTAGGTCATGGCCGATTCTATGATCAGATTAAAATATACTATTCGACTCGTAGTTTACTTGAATTTATAAATTACACATATTTGTAATTTATCTTAAAAATAGAGATGCAAAAATTCTACATTTATTCGTAATACACATATCTGTACACATCTTTCTGTGTACTAAATAATACGTAAAATTAATAAATAAAATTTAACAACCATAATAAGGAAAGGAGTCGCAGATTATATTATTGCATTATATGAGTCGTGAATAATATCGCTAAGTTTCACCATACATGCGAATCAGCTTAAGCCTGTTTTGCATTCGGTACAACGAACCCATACATTAAAGAGATTTTTGATTATAATTTAAAATGACGGATCT